GGCGCAAGAGCGAGAGCCCTACGACCGCCTCCGGCCAGCATTATCTCCTCGGTGCGGGACTGTGTGTCCGTGACAGTGTGACAAACTCGTGTGCTTAGTCACAAACGTGTGTATGTCTGCTCGCTCGTGTTCAATTGCCAATATGCTCGCGCTCATACTTCAGTTGGCGGAGCCAAAAGTCGTGTCAGTGCAGAGAGCCGGGGAAGGGGCGCAAGAGCGAGAGCCCTACGACCGCCTCCGGCCAGCATTATCTCCTCGGTGCGGGACTGTGTGTCCGTGACAGTGTGACAAACTCGTGTGCTTAGTCACAAACGTGTGTATGTCTGCTCGCTCGTGTTCAATTGCCAATATGCTCGCGCTCATACTTCAGTTGGCAGAGCCAAAAGTCGTGTCAGTGCAGAGAGGCCTGGGAGTCGGAGCGCGCCGAGCGCAACTTTCGGGACACTTTGGAGAGAGAAGCGCCGCGGCTCGTTTCGCCAGACAAAATGGAGCCAATTCATCCACGATATTCCAGATAACTCGGCGAGAGAAGCGTCCTTTGGCCGGTGAGCGACTCACATTGCCACCTCGTGACCACGTCGAGTCTTTCGTGAACTTGGCAAATGGTTTGGGAATGCGGGGAGGAAGGCGGAGTCAAAAAAGAGTCCACGTGAAGTGGTGAACTTGGATTCCCACCCAGAACCTCTTGATGGTGGGCCAAAGAGCAAAGCGCACCTCCTCCTGGGTGCCCAATTCAGATACGTCAACAAAAACGAGACTCAAACGCACGACTGTTTGGGTAGGCCCAAACCCAGTTGGACTTTTCCAAGCCACTGAAGATATTGAGCGAATTCTGTGCATCGATTAATTGGCCGATTAATCGCTTTCAGTGATCTGCACTTTCTGAGGCTTTCAACTCTGAAATCGAACTTGAGGGATTTGATGTGTAAAACTTGAGCATATCTTGCGGCCTCCTTCACTGTTGAACGAATATCACGAGGGCGAGAGACGCACACGCACAGCTATATAGCCGTCGTAAAAAGAAGACGATCGGGAAGAGAAATTAAGAGGCGACACTGCGCGACGAGCGACTGACTATTTTGGAGCCCGAAGCAAGCGTGTGCGTGCACTTGATCTGCCCCATCCTCGTTTTGTGCTTTTTTTTTTTTTTTTTGCCAAGCTCCGCCGATCCCCCGCCACCCCCCCTCCCTCCCACATTGCGCCTTAATGGTAAATCAACAAAGGGCTCACATGAAAGAAAGGCTCGCTCTCTCCTTTTTTTTTTTTTAGCCGGCGAATTATTCATCAGCGCCAGGCGCGCGTTGGCACTGCGGGCGAAAATCCTGCAGCGGTGGGCGCTCCCGTTTTAATTGCCAGAAAATGATACGGGGAGAAGGCCGAGCCGAGGAAGGGAAAATGCCAGGTCTGAAGAAAGAAAAGAAGGATGATCCCCCCCCCCTACGCCCCCCCTCCCAAAAAAAGATGAAAAAAATGGCAATCACAAGTGAAGTGCCTCTCCACCCTGAGCAGCCCCCCCAAAAAAGACAGATAGTGGTAGGAGCGCGCGGGGGGGGGGGGCGCATCCCCCCCCCCCCAAAAAAAGAGGTGGGATTAGGTCTGAGAGACAGTTTACTCGGCTCTTTTTGTGCGGCCAACCTGCAGGATTAGAGATAACAAATGTTAGCCGAGGACGGGCACCTGCTGCGAGAGCCGCAGGAGGAAGGCGCGAGAGGAGAGAGCCCGCTAAAACAGCCGAGTGCGGCAGGAGTCGGGGCCGTCGGGGACAAAGAAATCTTGTCGGGTCTGATTGCTGGAGCTCATCGCCGAGCGGCTAATCTGACCGTCCCGCCTCAGAAGCATCTTTGCAACCTTATCTGCAAACCCAAAGCACATCCCAAGCCACTTCCTCACAGCGGCAGCCGTCTTCCACACTTGGGACGAAGATTTCAATATAAGATAAGATAAGATAAGATATCCTTCATTTGTCCCACACTGGGGAAATTTACAGTGTACAGCAGCAAGATTGGGGGTAGAAAGAAGAAAGAAGAATATTCCTCCGTTAATGTTAGACGCCCATCCAAAAAGGGTTTGGTTTTCTTTTGTTTTCATCTGAGTTCTTTCACCAGAAAAAAAAAACAAAATAAAACAGTCTTTTCCGTTCTCGATCAATCCTCAGGAGCACCCAAAACGTTGCCTGCCTTCTGTTTCTGATCCAAAAAGTGCATTCAAAAGGATCCTTTTTTTGAGGGGGGGGGGGGCGGACAAAAGGTGTTCACCTCAGCCTTGTGGCCCTGCACTTCAGACCTGACGGCTTTGACCTCCCCGTTTAGCATTCGGTCCCTGGTCTGACCTTTCAATTTGGGAATTTACAGTCTGAGCGCCCGGCCTGGACGCTCGGGAAAATGGCTCAATGAGAAAAGGCGGGAGGAACGTCGTGCATGTAAAACTTGCCTCACTCACGTTTTTTTTTTTCTCTTCTTTTTTGGGGTGGCCGGGGGAGATATTACAAAAAAAAAAAGTAAATTAAAAAAAATCAAAAATCTTAAAAAAAAAAACAAAAGCAAGCGGATAACTGCAGGGGCTGCTAAACGAAGCAAAAAGACCCCGAGTGACCAAGGGGAATTATTTGGCTCCATTAAGCAGGCATTAACATGAATTACTATCTAATTAAAATTAAACAGCTCATTAATAACTTTGCAGCAGGGGCCATAGCGTGGAAGTCCTCTCGAGTGAGTTTACGTGTGTGTGTGTGTGCGCGCGTGTGTGTGTGTGTGTGTGTGTGTGTGTGTGTGTGTGTGTGTGTGTGTGTGTGTGTGTGTGTGTGGCGGGCCAAGAGAGCAATCGAGTGGGATAAAAGCCAGCAGCTGCTCCATGGGAGGCTCTGAGGGTCTTTGGAGTTATATATATATATAAAATGTTTCTCTTGTTTCATTTCTGTCCTGTTTCCATATTTACAGCCACCCATTTAGGTGGCAAACAATTTGGGGCTAAATTGGTTGATTAACTTCCCCTAGTCAGCAGTCCTCTGAGTCTTACTATCAAATAGACACAGAAACCTTTTCTTGAACTGCTTGAATTGACTTACTTGAGTCACTCCTACAGCAGCCCGTCGAGGCAGGTGATTGGAATCTGTTTTCCGACTCGCAAATTAACTGACAAGTGACACTCACCTTCACTGCTTTTGTGAACAAACAAAGCCAGCGAATGAATGAGAAAGAGCAGAATGGATGTTAAATTAGGCCTCAAAGTATTTCCCGTGCGCGCGCACACACACACGCACGCACGCACACACACACACACACACACACACACACACACACACACACACACACACACACATACATGCACGAACGCATGCATACACAAACATTCATACACACACATATGCGCACACGCACACACACACACACACACACACACACACGCGCACACACACACACAAACATATACACACACACTCACACACTTCTTGGCAAGGAGCTGTTTACCTCGGTATCAGTGCTGTTCTCTATAAGTCGAGACCCAATCCATATTCACTGGCCTGAAATTCCTCTGCTTATCTTCACCCGAACCTAAAAAAAAAAAAAGGAAAAAAAACCTCAGCATCTTCCCCTCTGTGCACACATCCATACATAAACATGTCGTTCTGGAGGCAAGAGGCGAGCGCGTCAGGCCAGGAGGGCGTCGGGCATAAGAATCACCTTGAATTGAAAACAGAGGATCGCACCTCCTCGGCACAGAGCGGATGGACATGCGGCCCGCGTCACAGGTGGACCGAGGAAGCGTTCGGGGGGGCACGAGTGTGTTCCGAGGGAGCACAGTTGCTGGATTTCCAAAGTGCGGAGAGTGATGCTTTGGAGGAATTGACTGGCCTGCAATATCAGGGGCAATTTAGTCCGCTTGATCATGTGTCGAGATGGTGGGGAATCTAAATCATTTTTCAACGCAAATCTAAAGAAATACATCAAAGAACATTTCACTGAAAAGAGAAACAAAAAGAAAGAATTTAAAAACGCGGGGGCGGGGGGGGCGGGGATGCCAGTTTTGGTGGAGTTTGTTGTCTGAGTTTAACCTCATTTTGTTGTGTGTAGGTTTGGGAGGGTTCTTCATTTGAAAGCAAAATAGGATCACGGTGGTGTGGAAAGTCGACTAGAACATCTAAGCTTTACAGTGATCCCTCGCTACTTTGCCATTCACCGATTGCGGATTCTGTGTTCTTCACTTGGCGGCAGGGTTTCGGTCCCCATGAACCGCGATAAGTGAGGGATCGCTGCATTTGGGAGGAATCAAAGCCGCTTGAAACACTGGCAGGTGCGTGTTGCCTCCTTCTTCACATGAGCTTGAATGTTATTGCTTGCATCCCCCCATGATCAGGACGTGCGCACTCGCGCAGGCGCGTGATCCCAGTTGTTGTCGTTCTTTTTTTTTTCACCGCTTTATTGATTTTTTTTCCCCCTCAAGTGGAATGAATCCTGAGAAAAAGTTTTGATCAGGAAAAAAAAAGAAGTTGGCCATGGAACAGGGATGTGTCGACTTTCTCCATCCTCTATACGCTGTTGGAGGCTGCCGTTTTGGTTCGCAACCGCATTTCAACAGACTCGCCGATCAACGGGGAAGCGCTGGATTCTTCATTGAGGCTGCAAATCGAGTAAATGCCGCGTTCCAAACGGTCCTCAGCATTATCGAGGAGTGTGTCCCGTTCAGTGTGAAAACAAATGTCCAAATGGGAATCTTGGCCCCATTTGGAGGTGCCGGAGGCACTTGATTGGATCAGCCGTCTACCCAACGTGCTGGCGTACGTGAAGTGGACTTGGGTGGGCGGCCGCGTCGAGGAGGGGTGTCGCCACACACCAGCGCTCCGAGTGGAAGTCGGCGGGGGCCTCAAAGAGTGCTCTGGCTTGGCTTCGCTTGAAAGGGGGCGGGAGGGGGAGCGGGGGGCTTAGTCATCACGGGTGCCTGTTCCGTCGCGAGTCGGCCGCCTTCTTGTTTGGGAGCTTCAAGTCGGGGAAACTCTGACGACTAATTGCGCGCCGGTGCCGGGCATGAATATTCATGGTGCTGTGTTCAGACCCCGTCTAATTAGTGGAGAGTTAGAGGAAGAAACTGGCACCTTGCATATGCACCGCGAGGGAAGCGCGCCCACCCCAGCGGCACCCCGCCGTCCTCCCCGCTTCTCCCACCACGCAGCTCTCGAGGGAATGCTGGCAGAGTAGCCGGAGTTCATTAGTCAAAAAAAAAAAAAGGAGGAAAGAAAAGTTACCTGAAAAGCACATATTTGGTCTTCAAAAAAATGGACGCGCATATAGACTTTTTTTTTTTTTTTGCATATTTGGGGGCCTATTATGCATGTCTATCAAAGAACAGGCACACACAATTATCAAGTGGAGAATTTCAAAAATGTAAACATGGAACGGAAACGTCCCGGTGGGGTTTGGGAGAGGGTGCGCGGCTCACCTTAAATATCGAATGAAACCCTTTCAACAAAAGTCATACTTTGGACTTACCTGTGGAAAGTATTTCAGAAAAAGAAAAAAACAAAAAAAAAAACAACGAATCACTTCCAATCAAATGTTTTGCCTACTTTTGTCCTTGAGACAAGGATAGAATAAGTTTTGTTTTTCAATTTGGCTATGAAATCAATTCATCAAATTGGCCCAAATCGCAGGTTGGGCTCGTTTTGCCCCAAGTGAGCTTGTTTTTATTATTTCGAGTAAGTGTTTTTTGCAGAGGATAAAGAGTATACGCCTGTGAGTATTGCTACAATGGCTGCCTACGTGTGTTGCTTTAACACCCGTGTTCAAATCTCCCTCGCTTCAAGTGCGCACGGATCATTCGATTGACGGCTTGAGCTCTAGCCTGAAGCTAGCGGACTTTCCGTTTGGTTAAAAGGAGAGTCGAGTCACAAATTCTCTCGACCAAAGCCCCACTCGGCGAAATTTGGCATTCCGATGATTATTATCTTTGTACAATATGAACAAAACAGCAAAATCCAGCCGTTTTTTTGTCCTTCTCATGGGGTGGCCATTTTGCTGTGGACTGTCCATGACGTCACGGTTGCCGTGGGTGCTTTTTATTGCTCAATCACGACACCGTAAATGCAATATTAATCATCATGCTGCATGTGTTTGGCCCGGCATAGGACACAGATTGCGATTGTTCTCGACTCAGCTCAGCTGTATTTCCAGAGCACTTGAAAAAAAACGCCGCCACAGACCAAAGTGCCGTACACGGAGCAAAAATAAGTCACACAACAAGAAACAAGAAAACAACCCATGAATAACGACGTCAGCAGAAAGCACAAAAACGGTCCAACTCAAGTCTCATGCGGAGGCAAAAGCCAAAGAAGAAAAGTGACGAGTTGGAAAGCCGGGCGGCGAGGGGGCTTGCCCAACGTTCATTCCAAAGAGCGGGCGCGGCGGCGGAAAAGGCGGTGTCCCCTCTGAACTTGGTTGTCGCTACCTCGAATAGCGCCTGGTCCCATGCAGAGCGGAGGCAGCGGGCGGGGAGCTCCGAGAGGTCAGGTGGGGCCGGGCCATTTCACCATTGCAAAACAAATCTTCAAAAGAACTCTCAAACCTACAGCGTAGGAGTGATGTGCTCCCTCTAACGAGTACCAGACCAGAGGATGCGCGGCGGCATCCTAGACCCGCCGGAGACGCTCGATGGAGGATTGTTGACCATCTGACGCTTGCTGCAAAAGTTCACGGGCACCGTCGTGATTTGGAGTGAATTCTTTGCTCACAGTTCAAGACAAAACTTTGGGCCAAGGGACGGCTTGTATCCCGAAAAACCCGTAGTTGCACACTGTCTGCTCAGCGAAGCCACCAATACTCACCCCCGTTTTGCTCACATCCTGCATGTTGACCTGATGTCAAGTCATGTCATGCAAGAAACTATAAATTGACACGATGGAGAATTTGACCCAACAAAGAAGACCTTCATATATATGGGGGGAGGGAGGGAGGTGGGCCAGTCCATCCCCCCGCAGCACCCCCCGACTTTTTTTGTGTTCATCATCTCCCAGATTGGTCCTCATGGTCGACGCACATGGCCTGTCTTTCACTTCTGTGGGCTCCCTTTCATGGCGCGCACCATGGAGACGTGGTCGGCCGCGGCAAAAATGCACCCAGGGTGCGGGGGCACCATTCCTCCACAAAACAGCCCCACCTCCTCACCTCACGCCCCCCGCCCCGCTGAGCATCTGGATGTGCCTTTTCCTTCCACCCACGCACAAGAGTGACGCTGTGCGGCGTGCTTTTTATAGACGGGGCCCGCAAGAACGAACGGGGGCAACAAATGACCCCCACAGGCACCCAAAAAAAAATGGAAGAGTCCTCAAAAGATGTGAAAGTCACCACTCATGGGAAGAGAAAATGCGGTCGCGCAACAAATCTGCAAGAAACACGCAAGACGCACAACACTGCGGAGCGAGCAAGCTGACGTTGTTCGTCAACGCCGCGCGCATTTTGAATTCCGTGTCCAATGACTGAACGTTCTGTCAAGGCAGACGGGGTGGCCATAAATCACGCCTTTGGCCAAACCATAAATTTCATTCCAACGACATGCACGAGCTTCATCATTTTGCTCCCTTACAGATAAATGAAATAAACCCTTTAAAAGGCCTCAAAAAAATAAGATCAGAAAAAGCATTTTTTGTCTCACAATGGAGAAATTCCCAACTTACAGCAGCAAAATGATGAAAGGGAGAAGTAGAAGAACAAAAAGTAGATCAATAAATATAAATATCAGCATATTAAAAATGGAGGAGTGGGGGTGAGTCCAGTATTTCGGGACCGTCTATTCGATAGCCTGACGGCAGTCGGCAAGAACGAACGGCGGGACCTCTCCTTCTCGCAGTGTGGGTGTATCGGTCCCTGGCTGAAGGTGCTGCCCGGTGGTGTCAGGGTGGCCCGCAGGGGGCGGGAGGGTCTGCCCATCATAGCGTTTAGCTTGGCTAGCATCCTCCTGTTGCCCACCTCTTCCAGAGGGTCCAGGGAGCAGCCCAGACTCATTGTGGGGGGTTTTTTCTCCATTGTCTTGACCTCACACATTTAATCCACGTATAAGGGGTGTTCACACGGCAACTTTTACTCCGGTGCAGCACCGAGGCTGTTACACTGGTGTGGCCCCTGAAAACAGCTTCAGCCGGAGCAAATTGAACCCTGCTCAAGGAGGTGGTTTAAAAATTTACTCCGGAGTAAATGCTCGTTTGCGGGGCAGCACTGATATAAAATTGGACGTGTGAGAAGAGTTGATTACATACGGGTATTGAATGCGTTGCTTTCATGCTCAGCTGTACTTTCCTTTCTCGCTCTCTTTCGCATCCTTTTACAGTGTCTGATAGACCGCAGCGTTGATTTGTCTGGAGAAGTACAAACCATGGTTTTTCATTGTGTCACAAACAAGGCGGAGAATAGGGAGTGCACTTTATGCATGCCCATGTTTTCTTTTCGTATTATTATATTCGCATTGCACGGCCGTGTGAATGCAAGTGGGGCTGCACCGGGGTTAACGCGTTTCTCTTTAGTAAGCAGCTTTTTACGTGTGAACACTCCGCAAAATTTGCTCCGGTGTGAGATATAGCACAACAAAATCTGCCAGTGCAGCACCGATGCAAATGTGTGCCGTGTGAACACCCCTGAGATGGACCAATTTCAGTCAAAACTAGCAGCTAACCAAGCGCTTGCTTCCCCCAAACATAAAATCAAAGACGAACTCCATGCCCGCAGTCACAAAAATAATGTTTCAATTAAAAAAGAAGTCAACTATTTATAAAAGACTGTTTAAAAAATAAAAATTTCAAAAACAGACCTCACTCAAATGACCCAAATTCCGCCACATTAAAGCTGCAAATGGTCTCATTCCCAGCACACGCCATTGTCATCAATTGACCCTCAAGCATGCCGTGCACAGTCGGGAAAGAACGGGGTGGCCATATTAACATATAACTTTCTCCCACGCGTTGATACACCAGACGAGCACTCAGCCTTACCTTTCAAAGCCGCCCCCAAATATGTCACGTGCACCCCAACACCGCTGTCAATAAATCGACCACGCACGCGTGAAGGTTGGCGTGTGTCGAGACGACAACCACGAAGAAGAAGAAGAAGAAGAAGAAGAAGAAAGAGGAAAGCGAGTTCAACGGCAGCACTTTGGCGTCCGCGAGGAGGGCGACGTGCGGCCCACTGCCCACTTTTGAGGCGAATGCGACGCCAGAGATGGAAGATTTGTTTCAAGCCCCGCATTTCCATTTAAGGACGTGATTGTGTTTGCAAAAGATCCCTTTCAATCTTTTGCATGCCCACCCCAGCCCCCCTCTCTCACTCGCTCTCTTACCGTACGCGTGTGTGTGTGTGTGTGTGTGTGTGTGTGTGTGTGTGTGTGTGTGTGTGTGTGTGCGCGCGCGCGCGTGTGTGTACGCCCTCAGCGTCTCGGAGGCTGCTTTGCAATTCATAGAATTGGTAATTTGCTATTGGGACAAAACGTGAAGGGAAAAAATAATCAGATCAAGCAGGGGAAGGAAAAGAGAGGTGCGTGCGTGAGTGAGTGCGCGTGTAGGAAGGAGTGTGCGTGTGCGTGTGCGCGCGCGCGTGAGGAATGGATTGCCTGCCTGCGCGTGCGTGTGATACCCCGCGTGTATGAAAAGAGTGTGTGGGTGCGCGTGCGTGTGTGGATATACAGTGGGACAGTGTGCTTGCGCGTGCGTCTGTGTGTGTGTGTGTGTGTGTGTGTGTGTGTGTGTGTGTGTGTGTGTGTGTGTGTGTGCGCACATATCCCCAAATAATATGCGTAAATTATATTGATATTTTTTTTTTGGGGGGGGGTGGTCTTGTATATTAAATTCAAGCAGATGTTGACATGACATAACACTCAAAACGAAATGAAGGCCTCGAGTGATCAATTCAAGAGTCGCAATATAAGGAACAGCTCAGCGTCAAGCAGTCCGGCCTCAACCCCCTCCCCCCCCCCCCCACACACACACACACACTCAAAAACAAACCAAAGCTAAGCGCTGTTAAATTGGAGGCGTCGTTATTTTTATTCCAGCGCCTAATAAGATGTCTTCTGGATGCCCAAAAAGCCTTTTGGATTTATTTTTTTTTCACCTGAGTCATGTTTGCTTCTGTTCTCTTTTTTCCCGAGCACGAACAATATGAAGGGGCATCCTTGGCCCAGTGTGACGGAGATTTTATTTGATTCAAAAAAATCAGTTAGGAATCCCCTTTATATTTGGACATGCGTCCGTTAGGCAGCAAAAACGATTTTGAAAGTGTATTTTCCTCCCTCTCCCGTATAAATGCTTTGCCGAATTTAGCAACGTGAGAGGGCATCACCCCCCAAAAAAGTCTTGTCACCTCGTGACAAATCTCGGCCCAAATCTTCGCCACCTTTCAGTGTGGCATGCCGCGTGGCGCTGTGCAACACGCCGATGGATGGATGGATGGAAGGTGAATGCAACGCGGCGCAGGTCTTGAATGTGAAAAATAGAACACAGTGGGTCGGGTCCCACCCACCCCGCCGCCGACTCTGTTTGATTTGAATTGTTGCGAAAGAAGAAGAAGAAGAAGCCGTCCACGCTGCTCGCAATCTCCTTTGAGGTGAATAAGAATCAAATGAGAAGGATTCATCTCGACTCTTCCGCAGGACACAAACGAGCCCCGTCACACTCTTGGTGAATGAGTTGAAAAATGTGTAAAAAAAAAAATCTAAGAAAATTAAAATGCGCCGAGTTCCGTTCAAGTCACTAAGGGGCATGTCATGTCATTGGGATGTACACAAAGCATCAATGGCGCTTCCTGTTCTGTTATTATTGTCATTGAAGTTAATGTCGTGGAAAAAAAGGGAAGTGAGAGAGAGAGAGAGAGAGAGAGGGGTGCGTGCCCGCACGTTTGGACTTTTTAAGGTGAAGTAACTGGAGCGCGCGCACAACCGAACGTGAGAGAAAAGCGCCGTCGCGCGTGCCAGATCCCCCCCCCACACACACACACACACACACCCACATCCCCTCCCCGCCCGAGTCGGCCAGGCGCGCGCGCGCGCCAATGGAGCGCGTCCCCGCTGGCCAATGCTCGCCTGGCGGAGGCGTGTCCTCGCGCCGGCCCAAGACCTCCCCGAGCCTCCGCCGACGCCGTCCGGGGCTCTAAAGCCCGCAGAGCTCCGAGGCGGCCGCCACTTCTCCGAGTCGGAGCCATGGCGACAACAGCTCAGTACATCCCGCGGAGTAACTCCTTGCCGTCCAACCCGCTCATGCACCCGGACTCGGACCGCATGCACCAGGGGACCACCTACCGGGAGGTGCAGAAAATGATGCACCACGAGTACCTGCAGGGGCTGGCGGCCACCAACACGGGACACCCGATGAGCCTGACGCACCACCAGTGGCTGCCGGCGTCCAACGGCGACTGGTCCGGCGGCACGCACCTGGGCCAGCAGGAGCACAAAGGCAGCGTGGTGGGGGCGAGCCGCGAGGACCTGGCGGCCGCCGGCTTCCACCACAGAGCGCACCTGGTGCACCAACAGCCGCCGGGCGCCCACCACGGCGCCTGGGCGGCGGCGGCGGCCGGCGCGCACCACCTGTCCCCGCTGTCGCCCGGCCAGCGGCCCGCGCGTGAAAAGAACCGGGGAGGCGGGACCGGGGGCGGCGGCGGCGGCGGAGGCGGCGGCGGCGGCGGCGGACACCACCACCAGGCTCTGCTCTACTCGCAGCCCGGCTACACGAACCTGAACGCCATGCTGGGGAGCCCCCAGCCGGGCGCCCTGCACCACGGCATGCGCGAGCCGCTCCACGACGACGCGGCGGCGGTGCACGACGGCCACATGGAGTCCCCGCAGCAGGCCTTCGGCCACCACCAGGAGCACTCGGACGAGGACGCGCCCAGCTCCGACGACCTGGAGCAGTTCGCCAAGCAGTTCAAGCAGCGGCGCATCAAGCTGGGCTTCACGCAGGCGGACGTGGGCCTGGCCCTGGGGACGCTGTACGGCAACGTCTTCTCGCAGACCACCATCTGCCGCTTCGAGGCGCTGCAGCTGAGCTTCAAGAACATGTGCAAGCTGAAGCCGCTGCTGAACAAGTGGCTGGAGGAGACCGACTCCAACACGGGCAGCCCCACCAACCTGGACAAGATCGCCGCGCAGGGCCGCAAGCGCAAGAAGCGCACCTCCATCGAGGTGGGCGTCAAGGGGGCGCTGGAGAACCACTTCCTCAAGTGCCCCAAGCCCTCGGCGCACGAGATCAGCACTTTGGCCGGCACGCTGCAGCTGGAGAAGGAGGTGGTGCGCGTTTGGTTTTGCAACCGGAGACAGAAGGAGAAGCGCATGACGCCCGTCGGGGTCCCGCACCCCAACATGGACGACGTATATTCCCAAGCCGAGACCCCCCCGCTGCACCGCTCGCTGCACAGCCCCGTGCAGTGACCCGCCGGACGAGCCCGACCGTCGTCGTCCTCGTCGCCCGCCCCGCCCCGCCCCGCCGCCGCGCGGGCTCCTCTCCTCGCTCGACGAACAAGGGGGACTTTGTGGAGTTTACACCAAGGTTCAGACTTGTTTTTTTTTTTTTTTTAACTTGGCATCGGGGACAACAAATGTTGAAAAAAATAAACCACACGCACGCGCACAGCTAGCGACAAATATTTCATTGAATGCGAGACGAAGATTTATTGACCAAATTAAAGCGGAGGGGATGGAAGGAGACTCGGCATCTCTTCACTCCCTTTTGGGGGAACCTGAACGCATCACACGCCTGCAAAAAAAAAAAAAAAACGAAAAAAACCACTGGAGGTGAAAAGTCAGCACTGAATGAACTTTTTTTTTTAATTTATGGCTTATTTATTTCGTCTTTTATTTTGGTGTTTTAATTTCCAAACCGAACCCGAGTGCGCTGTCATTTTTGATATTTGCAGTCGAAAACGCGGCGAAAGAACCAATATTCCAAATGCATCGGGACTGACATGTTCTGATAAAAAATAAATAAAAAAAAAGCCTTAATTTAATTTTCTTTCCCCTCCCAACACACACGTCGCAATTTCTAAGCGCAGACGCTAAAAGAAAAGCAGCACTGTGGCGTTTTCCTCGATTTTTTTCCCTCCTTCTTTGCATGGAGCACTTACTTTGTAGTTGTGAATGCGACATTTCCACACACGCCCCCCTCCCGACCCCACGCGAAGTTGGAGCAACTCAGGTAACTTTCAGTGTCGCCCCCTCCCCGACTCAGTACCCCCAATGTCAAAAGCTGACTTTCTGTGATCCTTAAAAAGCCGCGGGACCCTGAAGGCAACGCGGCCAAAGGACTTTTGTTGTTGTTTGTTTGGTTTTTGGGTTTGTTTGGGGTTTTTTTGCGCGAGCGCGTGTGTGTGTGTGTGTGTGTGTGTGTGTGTGTGTGTGTGTGTGTGTGTGTGTGTGTGTGTGTGTGTGTGCGCGCGTGCGCGCGCGTCCGTGTTCTACTTTTCAAATGATATTTATTTGACGTCGTCCTTAAAAAGCCGCGGGACCCTGAAGGCAACGCGGCCAAAGGACTTTTGTTGTTGTTTGTTTGGTTTTTGGGTTTGTTTGGGGATTTTTTGCGCGAGCGCGCGCGCGCGTGTGTGTGTGTGTGTGTGTGTGTGTGTGTGGTGGGGTGGGAAGTAAGTAAAGGGAGTCTAGAGGGAGAGCAGGGGTGAAGGAAACTAAAGGTATGGAGGAGGGTAAGAGAGGGTGGAAGTGAAAAGGATTAATTCATTTATAGGGGAACTGTAAAATGAGAGAACATATCAAATGCATCAGTAAAGAAGTGTAGATAAGATACAATCAGGGAAATTGGAAGTTTCAGAGGAAGAAAGGAGAGAATAATAAATTGGGAGGGATTTAAAAAGGGGGCGTTGTCTGAAAGTCAAAGTAGCTCCTGTCTTTCTACCTCTTTCACTCTTTCCTTCAGTGGGAGCCGTCAAAATAATGGATTGTCACGCTAAAGGCCGGAGACAAGAGGGCAAAGGAGTTGCCCAGGCAGGGGGGTCGGGGAAGGAGGGAGTAATTGTAGAAGGCCAGGGGGAGGCCATTTTGGACAGATGGGGGTGAACACACAGAGAGGTCTGCTATGCTTCCAAAGCAATTTATTCCCTATTACAGAGTGGTGACAAAACACTGTGAGAGAGCAATTGTTATTCCAAAGCTGAGATCACGCTATTGACTGTTTTGCATTTCAGCTCTATTGCCTCCAAAATATTGTTTGTAATATTGAAATACTGTTATTTGCAAACAAAACTGTCCGAAAGTAAAAAGTGTGATGCAGCAAGTGCATGAAGAAATGATGCTGAGCATAACTTGCCGAGATCATAGAAGAGCTCACTATATACGGGAACAGTCCAAAGTTGGATACATCGCCGAGAACATTTTAGAGTTCGGAACGCCACTTGGCGTTCAAAACTTAAAAATGAATAGACAGTAACACATTCTGGATTCTGAAAGATGGAAAAAGAAACGGAGGAAGACTCGTTGGAGAGACCACCTGGACCATTTCAACAAGTCATGGAACAGAAGCGCCAGGACAGATGAAGAAAATCTCAGAAGGCTGATGTCCAAATTCACACATAATTTTTCGACTTGTGTAGCTAATTGATGTAAGCAAAACATTAGAAACAGCTCTCAATATGTTGCATTGTAATGCTACACCACCGCAGTCTAAAAATGAGTTCTGTCATACAAAAAAAAAAAAAAATCCAAAAAACTGGAAGGTTTTGGTTTCTTGCAAAATTCTGCTTGGACACTTTATGCTTGTGAATATTCTTTGGCAGCCCTTGTAATATCTTTGAACAAGTTACAATGTATCTTGGCCCGGTGACTATTTTGAGCAGATTTTTCCTGGCCCACATGTGAACTGGTCATTTGTGGCTTCGCAAGGCTTCGGGCTGCTTCGAGTGTGAAACACACTTGAGCCGCACAACTCATCATTGCTCATCAGGAGGAAATGAAAGTCTGTATTTAAATGTGCTATTTAGAACCCGTGTGCCATCACCTCTTCATGTCAATGACAGTTGGGTCACATTGTAACTACTGTACTGTGGCTGCTGTGTTGTTTCTACACTGCGAGAACATTCACTTGCCAAACCAATGTCAGGCCTCCGATATCTTTGAATGGAGTTTCAATGCTATCGAATATGAGCTGCAGCTACTTTCCTAGAGGCTGTTTGTTGGTCTTAATAAACAGAAGGATTGCCTGTGTTTCTTCCCTCCTCTATTCCTCTGCCTCCTCAGCCAGTCTTGGTACAAGTGTGTTTGATGTATATTTGATAGATCCCAATATCCCTGCCTCTTTTTCCCTTGCTGACGATCGAGGATCAATAATGTACGTGCGTGTGTGCAGGTCTGGGTGTGTTTGTCAGAGAAGAACAGAGATGAGGTACTGGCTGAAAGCGATGTGAATGCAATGTCCTCCAGCTGTAAGATAGAGAAGATGGCCCACGCGAGACTATCCAATCCTATAGAGAGTTGGGCCGCACAATCAGGCGGTGTTGGATTTAATGGAAAGGCATGTGGATCATACTGTAATTTCCCTGTAGGCTCCCCTCAACAATGAAAAGAATGAAAACAAAAGAGAACCTATGGGAATGGGGTAACGGGAAACAGATTGATGTAAAATATGGAAGTGAAGAAAAAAAAATTAAATATCGTCGAAAATAGTGTGCACACCGTCCTTAGAGTAAGCATTACGTGACTAGACAAAGGAAAAAAAATGTTTAAAAAGTCAGGAAATGACCGATCTTCTGCTTGTTTGTAGACCTTAAATGGACAAAACATATATTGAAGGACACCTTTTTTTTTTTTTTTTGGGCGATCCATTCATGAGTTCCTCCTCAGGCCTTGTGAGTCCCCCCGGCCAGTTTGCTCACTAGATGATTTTGGTCTACACCCAGTCTCTTGAATAGATGCGCATGGATGTTTCTTTCCCCCACGGTCTTCGACAGCCTGCGCACTTTAAAAGATGCCTCTCTCTACCATTTTGTCTAATACTTCAACAATGTCTATTTTGCTTGCAGTGATTTCTCCCACGAAGACCTCGGGGACACCCAAGCAAGCATGTGTTACATCCCTCCCCCACGTGCCTTTGCTCCTCTCTGAGAAAGGCAGGATGCTGCAATACCTCCAGAATGAAGTGATGGTGCCTTTGGGCTTCTAAGCCATTTGAAATGCAACCAAACAAGGTCTCCAAGGAAAGCTTTGAAACAATAGCACTCCTTTTTTCTGGGCATTAATTCAAGTAAGCATCATTTTTTTTCCTCCCCCCTGTGAAACAGCTCCGGCAGGACCCATCAAATAAAGTTTAACACAGACAAAGAGCATGTTTAGTTCAAATCCTAAGCGAAATAAGCCGCTTACTGGTGTGATGTGAACATATATTTCTCTTAGTATCTGTGGAATAAGTGTACAGCACCAACTGCAATCCCATCATAATTGTTGGATGTTTTCTGATGGATTATTACTTGGATAGACAGCTTGGAGTAACACAGTTATTGGCAGAGCTATTGTTTGCGTATCTCTGCGAAGGAAGAAAGACAGCCAGGAGTCTCATGAATTTATAACATCATTGTGGGTGTGGAATGCAGCTTTTTTTTCCCCTTCCACGAGTATGAACAATGTCTCTTTTGTCATCCACTAATTTCTTACCTAAATTATTTTCAGAATTCTAACAAGATGAATCGTCCCCCCCCCCCCCCCGCCCCGCCGCCGCGCGGGCTCCTCTCCTCGCTCGACGAACAAGGGGGACTTTGTGGAGTTTACACCAAGGTTCAGACTTGTTTTTTTTTTTTTTTTAACTTGGCATCGGGGACAACAAATGTTGAAAAAAATAAACCACACGCACGCGCACAGCTAGCGACAAATATTTCATTGAATGCGAGACGAAGATTTATTGACCAAATTAAAGCGGAGGGGATGGAAGGAGACTCGGCATCTCTTCACTCCCTTTTGGGGGAACCTGAACGCATCACACGCCTGCAAAAAAAAAAAAAAAACGAAAAAAACCACTGGAGGTGAAAAGTCAGCACTGAATGAACTTTTTTTTTTAATTTATGGCTTATTTATTTCGTCTTTTATTTTGGTGTTTTAATTTCCAAACCGAACCCGAGTGCGCTGTCATTTTTGATATTTGCAGTCGAAAACGCGGCGAAAGAACCAATATTCCAAATGCATCGGGACTGACATGTTCTGATAAAAAATAAATAAAAAAAAAGCCTTAATTTAATTTTCTTTCCCCTCCCAACACACACGTCGCAATTTCTAAGCGCAGACGCTAAAAGAAAAGCAGCACTGTGGCGTTTTCCTCGATTTTTTTCCCTCCTTCTTTCTTTGCATGGAGCACTTACTTTGTAGTTGTGAATGCGACATTTCCACACACGCCCCCCTCCCGACCCCACGCGAAGTTGGAGCAACTCAGGTAACTTTCAGTGTCGCCCCCTCCCCGACTCAGTACCCCCAATGTCAAAAGCTGACTTTCTGTGATCCTTAAAAAGCCGCGGGACCCTGAAGGCAACGCGGCCAAAGGACTTTTGTTGTTGTTTGTTTGGTTTTTGGGTTTGTTTGGGGTTTTTTTGCGCGAGCGCGTGTGTGTGTGTGTGTGTGTGTGTGTGTGTGTGTGTGTGTGTGTGTGTGTGTGTGTGTGTGTGTGCGCGCGTGCGCGCGCGTCCGTGTTCTACTTTTCAAATGATATTTATTTGACGTCGTTGTGTGCATAAGGCAGCCCCCCCACCGCCCCCCCTCCCCAAAAAACTGAAACTAGCAGTGCTATTCACCGGGATTTTCCTCCCCAAGAAAAACAT